TTGTTTATATAGAATTCAGTGGGAGCGTGAGGCTTTTATGAAGCAGCTAGCTTTAGCTAGTGAAGCTAGCTATTGTTTGCATTAACACTGCTAAGTGAGAGAAATCCTATAATACATACAAATGAAACTCACACTGTCAAGTTATGTTGAATTGCCAGCAGAATCAGGAAGAGACTATTGCATTGGTTATGCCTCTGCTCATGTTTGCAAGTCTGTCTTTGAAGCTAAAAGACTAGAAAATTACTTTTTTGAGAAATGAAGATTTTCACCTTGTAAATCCTTAAGTGGCTGAGGCCTGGATAAATACCAACATTTCAGTGGCCTGCAGCGTGGTGCTTGATAGTGGTTACTGTCACATGTTATTACTGCAAAAACAGTGGATCACAGTTTCCATTTATGCTGTCCATAGGGTGATAGGTATCCAAGAGGAGGATTTGGCCTTTCATCTCCAAAAGAATTGGTGTAACTGAATGCATGGATGTAGCCAAACTGAGTGATCACTTTTGCTCTTGTAATTCATCATGTAATAACTAAGAGAATTGTACTGACAAGCGTTTTTTTCCCACTAGACTGAAGCAACCTCAAGCTAGAAAAATGTTAAATGAAGGAGTTATAGTTGCTCTTGGCAGTGATTTTAATCCTAATGCATACTGTTTTTCAATGGTAAGCTATCCCTAATACTTACAACAACACAAAATTACAAAATCTCCCGCTAGTATGACTTGTGTGTAGATCTTACATACATAAAACATTCTTCGTATCCACAGAGTACTGCATGCGCAGCGTAGACAATTGCTCCTGCCTATTTATGTGGGTTGGTACTTTTTGCCAGAAATTCTTGAAACTTAAAGGGGGTTGATTTTTCAAATGCACTGAGGCTTCAAAAAAAAAAGCTTGCAAAGTTCCTGATTCCACATTTCTCATTTTGGAATTGGCAAGATTTACATCATGTGGGACAACTCCTTTTGTTGCATAAGGTGGGAGGAGAGTGCTGTGGGATTTGAGGCATAAACAACTTTATTTTTGTTATTGGTAACTCCCATTTTCTGCTTAATTTTCCTGCTAGCCTATGGTGATGCATCTGGCCTGTGTAAACATGAAGATGTCAATGAATGAAGCACTAGCAGCTGCCACCATTAATGCAGCTTATGCTCTGGGAAAATCAGACACGCATGGCTCCATAGAGATCGGCAAGCAGGGGGACCTTGTTATTATAAATTCATCAAGGTATGTTCTTCTGTTATCGTTTGTAATGTGATTTGACATAAGGGACTTAATTTTTCACTGTGAGGATAGTGGAGAGGTTAATGAATTCCTTGTGTTTAGAAGTTATTTTTACTTATAAAAAGGGACACAGCTAGCATTTTAGACCCACTTTCATTCTCCTTAATCCCTCCAGTGAAAGATAAAGCATCATAGTTTTAGGGCTAATATTACAAATAACCCGTGCGCATTGACAAATTATCTAAAGATAATATGTGTTTATTTTGTGGAAGGATTTCTGTAATGATTTGTACATTAGTTCATTGTATTCATGCAACAAGAGACCAACATGTACATGTAAATGTGGAATTTTGAATCAACGTCAACAGGGAATAGTGTTTTCCATGGTTTAAGCAAATGGTTCCCATGGTTTAAGCAAATATTTTGTAATTGCCAGGTATACTAGATATGTGACCTGCTTTTATGCAAATAACAGATATTCTTAAACATCTCGTTGTCTTTTTAGGTGGGAGCATTTGATTTACCAGTTCGGGGGACATCAAACATTGATTGACTATGTTATAGTTAAAGGAGAAGTTGTCTATAAAAACGAGAGGTGTGGGATAACGAGCAGTTACTGAAGGAAGACAGTAATTTAGGAAGCTGCTATAATCAAATTGGCATGGAATATTTCAAAGTGACAGACAAATCAGATTTGTATTTACTGGTAAATTGATTGCTTGTTCATCTTACCAGCCCTTTTATTCAAATAAACGTTACCATGCATTACCTATCTGGTATATCAGCCGTCTGGTGCATCTTCATATCAGTTGTCCTTCTCTCCTTCTTCTCCGGTGCATAAAAATGATTTTAAACATGCCTGTTAGAAATAAACAGTTTTCTGTATATTTTTAAACTATAAAATTGTTGTATTTGAGGAAAACAAAAACAAACAAACACAGAAAACCAACAATCTATGAATAAGGAAAGGAAGTTGTGGGAAGCTGGGTGTCAGCCTCTTCTCACATGTAACCAGTGATACAACTAGAGAGAATGGCCTCAAGTTGTGCCAGGGGAGGTTCAGGTTGGAAATGAGGAAACATTTCTGCTCAGAAAGAGCAGCCAGGCACTGGGACGGGTTGCCCAGGGAGGTGGTGGAGTTATTGTCCCTGGGGGTGTTTCAGGGAAGGTTGGACATGATGCTTGGGGACATATTTTAGTGGGTGACATTGGTGGTGGGTGAGATGGTTGGACCAGATATCTTAGAGGACTTGTCCAACCTTAATGATCCCATTTTTCTAAGAAAGAAGTTTGGATCTAGTTAAGATTAACTGGGAAGAGTAATGTTAAGAAACCTGTAACAGAGGGCCAGGGTCTTAGGTATGCACATTTGGAATGGTGCTTGTTAGTGAACTAGATTCCTGATGAGCGACAGCAGTCTCATTCTAGTTTGAAAGCCATCATAATCATGTAGGAGCTTTATGTCTTTCTGATCTCCCTGAGCACTGGGTCATCTGTTAACATCTAAAACATGCAAGCCACCCCATACAGTATCTTTCTTCATGTTTGATTTCATCCTGACTAGCCAACCAAATCATTTTATAAATTAATTTAATGGTGTTCCTGTCAGTAGATACATTTTCCTGCAAGCACATGTTGTGCCAGATGTAGGTGTGGACCTTTACTTTTATAGAACTGGGAATAACAACTGAAGCATGCTGTTGCACTGTCCATTCTGCCTGAGACAGCATTCACAAATAACGTGAATGCAGGCAGGTGGGGAAAGCTGTCGGAGTGCTGTCACATGCATTTCCGAAAAGCAGCGCACGGTCAGAGCAGTGCCCCTGAGCTTAGCAGTGCTATAGCATGTCCTGGCCATGCCTTGGTCCCTGGCAGCCCGAGGTGTGCAGTGCGGCGAGGCAGAGCTCCTCACAGGGTGCCCAGCAAGTCTGGGTGCCCCGAGGTGCTGTGCACCAGGGCAGGATGGAGGGAGGGGAAGGGCTGACGGCTGCATTTGCCACAGGCAGTTGTGAAGAGGTGAGTGGGAAGCAACACCCCTGGCCCTGCGACATCACTCCTCATAGCAAAGAGAAATACAAGTTAAAAATTTTGCTTACATTCACGCTGTTTTGGTTCTGTTTTCCCACATGGGAGCTTATGGCAGTAGGGCAGGGCAAACTGAGTGGCAGTGGTGGCAGCCCTAATATGAGCCCCAGGCTGTAATTGCCATTAATTGCTACATGCAATGGCAGAGCCTAGTGCCTATCCTCTGCTGTGCAGCGAGGCAGTACGTCTTCTCCGAAGTGCCTACAACATCTGCGGGACCACGCTGGCATAAGGAAAACCTCAAATATTCTCTTGCTGGACAGAAATAGTCATTTGTGGCCTGAAACTACTGACCTGAGGGGAATGTGCTCTCATGCACAAGCTCTGACGGGAATTTCAAACCATGTGCTTGCCTGATCAACGTGGCCAAATCCAGTAGCCATTTTGGAGCATGCCCCAGGGCTATAATTAGCGGGAGGTTTGCAGTTAGAGGATGTGGTTATCCTTCAGCAGCGTAACTGGCTTAAGTGGTTCCTGATGGCCGGCTGCATGGCCCTGCCATTGCGTGGTTTGCTGTGCTGCTGCCACTGCGTCCATGCAGCTGCCAGGGAAAGCACAGCACACTGAAACACAGAACATTTCTTTTTTGCTTGTTGTTAGTGTGGCTCACTTTGGCAACGACACTCACTGCATTGGCTGCTGCAGCACGTGGATGTAGGTAGGATTGGAGCAGGTAGGAGCCGCGCCTGCTGGTTTTGCTGTTGGGGAAGCTATTATGTAGCCATACCCTAAGGCTGAGGGCAAACGGGTGAACAACCAGGCACATATCTCCAAGGGTCACTCTCGCAGCTGATTTTAATAGCCAATTTTGTCCAAAATGGAACAGCTTCAGCAGGAGGTTGGGATAGGCTTGCTGCAGAGAGCCCAGAGCTGGAGGGGTGGAGACAGACTTGGCACAGGAGGGAGAGACAGGGGCCAGGGACAGAGGGGGCCGAGCTGGGATCTCACACACGGGTGGGTACCCTCACTCCCAGCTCTACGTAGTGTTGGGCTAAGGGCCCAGCACCACGCTCGTGTTTATATCTTGATGTGACGAGTCAAAAGTCACCTGGCTCTACGCAGGGCAGGACACCCTGCAAGTCATGTTTTCTCCTGGCCAGGTTCAGTGTCTCCCTGCCAGCTTTCCAGTGGGTGTGAATCCTGTCCTTGGGGCACATTTACATTGCAGGTCCCACCCAGAGAAACACACGGGTGGCCCCAAACTAGCAATTCAACTGCTTGTGCAGCATAGCTGATGGCCAGGGAGGTTTTTTTAGTCCATGCTGAACCCACACGTGGCCATGGTTATCAGGCCTGTACTGCCAAGGCTGATGTTTTTTAACTGGTCTTTACTTGTTGTCGCTGTGCTGTTTTTTAACTGGTCTTTACTTGTTGTCACTGTGCTGTGCTGTGAAGCTAAGTCCTGAGTCCTCCTTTGCAAAATACATAGCCTGTGCCAGAGGTCAGTGTTGTAACACAGAGCACGTTACCACACAAGTTTCTCCATGGGGACAAGGCCCTCCGCTGCCAGACAGATGCCCAGGAAGCCACGGAAGTGCAGGTCTCCAGCGCTGGTTCACATCCACACCACCTCTTCCTCCCCAGAAAGAGTCTGTACCCTTCCCAGGCCCCATTGCCACCTGTCCTGCTTATTTCTAGGCTAAAGCTTTGTTTCACTTTTTCATCATGACAGGAAAACACATTGCTACAGCTGTATATGAAGCCTCTCTACTTTTATTGCAGATGTGAGCCCATAGGTCTTGGAAAGCTGCTTTAAATGTAGTCCATCATCAGAACACAACTGTATTTGTTCTGGAGCAATGATACCCATAGCATGTTCTTTTGCACACAGCTTTTTTGATTTGTGAAGCACCTGTTCTAAAACTGCTCTCATTACACAAGAATTTGTATACCTCACGTAAAATCTGCACAGTGCTGGAGGAGCGAGAGAGAAGAATTAAGTGTCAGAGATAATTTTGCATGTGGCAGAATGAAGGGTACTGCAGCAGTTACCCAAAGGAAAAAGGAAAAAGAGGTGAGAATAACAGATCTCAGCTGTTCAGTATCCTTGGCACACATAAAGAGAAGATAAGCAAAGAGCTGACAGAACAAATGCAAGAGACACTGAACAAAACATCCACTGGTTTCAGCAGAGGTCTGAATATTTTGTTTTCAAAAGCTCAGGCAGTTCAGTCAAATCCACACTATTATGACAGAGCTGTCTTTCACATGTGAAGAAACTAGCGAGCCATTTTTCTTCCATTGCTATGTGCTCCTGAGTGAGACAAACAGTTCTTTTGGGTCATCCGAAGAAACCGCTCTGATTTTTGGTGAAACAGCCATACACAGGGAAGGTCCTGGAAAGGATCTGCTCTGTACCCGAGGAGAGCAACTATTAAAGTTCATTCTGATGTGAGTGGTCGTGGCCAATATGTGTTTTCTTTGCCAGTGATCCCAGGGAGAAGGCCGTTGGTGAACCAGGTCTTGACTCAGGGATGTGTTCTCTCCTGTACTTTTCAATGTAAGGTTTAGCTACTTCCCACACCTGTGAAATCATAAAGTAAAACAGGAGAGTTGGAAGGAAAACTGAAGAATTACTCTTCATACTCAGTTAGACATCAATACTCGAGTTCAGGAAACCTTGAGGGAAAGTTACTGGGATGTAGCTGAGAATTAGAGACCTGCATAAATAAGCTGTAGGTGATCAGCAGAAGTAGCAAAGGGGGGTTTAGGGAAGAGCATGTGGATGGAGTTGAGAGAGGGCAGGAAAAGACAGCTCTGGGGGGACGAGATGAAAGGATTCAAGGTGAAAACATTGCATCTTGTCTTGTTAGCAGGCAAATGCTTGGTGTGCAATAGCTGGGAGAGGATCACTGTCACTAGTTACCAAATCCCTGGGTCATGAAGGGGCCAGGGAAACAAAATGACAGCTGACATGCCTAAAGAAAAATGGAAGGGATAGTGTCTGGTATTTAAGGCAGACAAGGAGAGGAAAATGTTCTACAGTCTCCTGTGTCTCTTCTTTCAAGGCTGTAAGACAGACGGCTGCAAGGCACAGTCTTACAGAGGGGGGACTGGGATCTTTCATTTGCTTACACTCACTGATTGTTTGTTATTTACCTTTCACAAACAAGTGAGAGATGTTTGTGCAGTCCCATAGCTGTACAAACACTTGGCCTGGGTTAGCACTGCTAAAGCCCCTGCTGTTCCCTCATGCACCTTCCCTTACCGCTTCTAGCAGCCCGCCAGGCCCGAGGGCCTCATGGCTGGGCAGCGTGCTACCTGGGGAATGAGGATCCCTGTCCGGAGAAGGATCCCACTGGAGATGGGATCCCGTGGAGATGGGCAGGGGTGTGGGACCCTGCCCTCAAGCAGCTCCCCGCCAGTTTTAGTAATGTAAACCATTTATTACACAGGACCGGGCAAATGGGTGCTGTTACTGACTCCGGCCAGTGACCACAGCGAGGGACATCCCCGGAGCAGAGCCGTGGCGTGCCCCTGAGGACAGAGCTCACCGCCCCTGCCAGAAGCCAACACTCACCTTCTGCTCCACCAGCAGCCTGTGAGCCGCTTCGATGTCCGGGGCCATGAAGCGGTCCTTCATCCAAGGCCTGCAACGAGACCCAGTGAGAACATTGGCCAAACATTAACCACCAGCGGCAGCAGGTCTCCAAAGCGGCCCGTGACCTCTGCCTGTCGTGTTTATCTGATCTTACCTCACAACTGAGCGCACAAGGTCGTAGACCTTCTCCAATGGCGTTGTCGTCCTCAGAGGGCGTAGGAATTCAATGCCCTGGCAGGCAGCGAGCAGCTCGATAGCCAGAACTAGGGAATCACAACAGCAAGGGGGGTCCTATGCCCATAAATATCACTTCCAGGGTATCTTGAATACCCCAAGTAATGGGCATCATGAATCAGAAAACTTTTTAGGGCTGAGATGAACAAAGGGGAGTGAGCTGTAGAAAGGCTTGGCTTATGAAACTTCGAAGGAGATCATTCTTTCTGGAAAAGTTTGAACCTTATCTGCCCACCTCAGACCTGTTGATTATGGGCATTAGTTCCTCAGTCTCACGAGCCAACTCACCAAAGGAGCTGGCTAAATCAGCTGGATCTAGAATATGTTGTTTCTCAACACAATGTTGAAAGGTTTCTCAGACTCACTAGTCTGCACATGAAGAATGCAGTTCCATAAAACTAAGTCTTTAGAGCACTCACATGTATAAACTTAAGTGGGCGAATGAGTTTAGTGTTTGTGACCTATGTATTACTCTGTTCTTCCACTAACAGCTGACATCTGTATCTAAGCACATCACCTGCCAAACAAATAAATAAAAGGAAAAAACAGAAAAGCAAGAGAGCAATCTGTACTTCAAAGCAAGAGACGACAGTTTTGCTGAGCATCCTGTAGTGAGTAGTTTTGTTTCTCAGGAAACACTTAGCCCTGGATTTACCTCATCTCTATTCCAACTGCTTGTAAGAGTATATACTTAATAAAATATTTTAAAATAGTTCTTTCAGATGCATGAAGCCTTTTTTCTAATCATCTAAACATCTAAAAAGAATGGCATTAATATCTTAATCCAGTTAAATACATAAGGTTTGTATGGAAGTCAGTGTTTTAATGTTACCTTGTTCCACGTGCTCAATGACTCTCAATGCTTTTCTCGCAGACCATCCTCCCATGGATACGTGGTCCTCTGTAGCAGCACTGGTGGACAGAGAATCCACGGAGGAGGGATGGCACAAGGCTTTGTTCTCCGAAACTGCAAAAACCCAATGCAGTGAACGTTGGGCAGAAAGGGACAGTGACACCAGAAGCAACAGTCAGCCTGAAGCAAAGAGCCCATCCACCACCACAGGCTTCAGTGGAGAATACAACTGCTGTTCCTCTTTGGAGGATACATCAATGTTTTAGCTGAGTTGTTTGTAATAAACACCTTGAAAACTACCACCACATCTGAAAACAGTCACCAAATACTGGTCTTTAGATACAAATATTAACCAAAAACAGGAAGTTTGCGCACTCCCCACCACGAGCCCCTGGCCTCAGCACCGTGATGGGCTGGGAGGCAGGGCTGTCCTCACCGCCGTGCTGGAGGCTGGGGAATGCCCTGGGGTCTCTTGGGTGGCAGATACAAGCTGTAAGTGTGAGGCCTGTGAGCAGAGCAGATGCCCCTGGCACCTGGAGCCCAGCAGCAGCTGAGGTCTGCAGCAATCACAAACTCTGGCCAAAAGGAAAAGTTGCCAGCCTTCAAACACAGCGACGAGCCCTTCAGCTCATATTCCAGTCCCACTTCCCAAAACAGCCTCTGGGCAGAGCCATTTTATTGCATCGATTTAGCTCATTGACTGTTTTTCTGTAGGGTATTTATCTACTTATTATCCGACGTCCTCTGTTCCTGACTGTTTGCAACTCTTACTTACATTTTACCCTCTGCTTGCAGCATGTTTATCTTCATGTGGGTTCTAGTGCGTCCCTGAACTGTAATATTACAGAGGCCAGCATGCTTGTTGTTGGTTTAGTCATGAGTACTAGAGGAAAAATATACCTAGTGCTTTTTTTTGGTGTGCTCCTCTGATACGCAGCCCTGGAAACTCCTGTGGAGTTTGCTACTGGTGTAGATACCTGGCCATCAGATGGAGACACCGAGTGCTAAGGGTATCAGCCCAGCTTTGACACAAGTGGTGTCCCTATGAGAACTGAGGAATGAAGGTGCCTCCACTTAGAGACCATACCTATTCAAACATAGGATCTAGGTTTGGCAGAGTGGCTCAGACAGATAGAGTGTGTTGCCTGCAGAGCTTGCTGTGAATTTTACAGCCTTATCTGAGCTGATTTGCAGGCTGTTGGGTGCAGAGCTCTCACTGATTTCAGCTGGAGATCATGTGCTGGCAACTCTGTACACAGAGGACTCTCTGCCAAGCCCATCAAGATGCAAGCATTCCTGAAGTCCACCTATGGGTTTGCATGCTCAGAACACTAAATTTGCTCATGGGTCAGTGCAGAACAAAGAACCCTGAGCTGAAATAATTGCAAGCTGTACTGAATGCTCAGACATCGCACCCAGCTAGCTCAAAGCATGTGGAGAAGAGAAGGAAAGCAGGAGTGTGATCCTTTAACAACAACCTACCAAATTACAACTGCCTCAGTGTAAATTGATCTTTCTAGCTTGCCCTATTGGTACTACTTAAGCACTCACCCAGGGCAGCTGCTGTGCAGTGTGCAATCATGAAGCCGGAGTTCAGGCCTCCTTCAGTGACTAAAAACGCAGGCAGTTCACTGAGTGAGGGGTTGCAGAGCCTCTCAATCCTTCTTTCACTAATTGCAGCGAGTTCATGCACACCAATTGCCAAGTAGTCCAAAGCCTATAAAAGATGTCCTCATTAAACTAGGTGACAGGAAAAAAAAATCAGAAGCAATAATGTCTTTTTTTCTATATATGCTTAATTACCTTTGCAGGATATTCACCATGAAAATTTCCTCCAGAAATGGTCTCTGCTCTTTCAGCAAACACCATCTTTAAGGAGAGGTTAAGGCACAAATATGAATTAAATACAGCTTATGTGAAAGATATCTATGAGCAATCAGAATATCTTATCTGAAGGTATGTTTGCACTAGTAGGCTTTTATTTGCAAATACACTCTATCACAACTATGTACTTTTCAGAAAATGAAGGCCCAATCTCAGTTCTCCAAACTTGTAGACACAGTTTTGACATGTATTTTTTCAAATGGACTGCATGAAAAGAGGTATTTGATTAGGGGGTGGGATTATTAGGGGTACAAATAAACACACGTGATAGATTCTCTCCAAGGCACGTACAATTTTAGACAAGTAACAAGCAGTGATGCATGTCAGCTATCTGTGGGATGTTACGTGTAACATCTTCATAATGCTGAGGAGAATCCAGCCTCGCTCAGTGCCAGCACAAGTGTGCCCACAGTTTACCAGGCTGAACCGCGAGGAGGTTTACCAGTCACATATGTTTTGTCTGCGTTCCCTGATGGAATGCAAACCTTGCCCTGGAATGCAACTCTCACCAGTGCTGCATCACCAGGTGTTTCATACAAGTCACCATTCATCTAAGTTCATTTGGTTACCAAGTCCCACCTATCTACATATGCAACAGAAGCATATAGATTATTATCTAGGAAACCTTAACATGCACTAGACTGAATGCATGGGTGGTTCCCTTGCCCCAGCACACACTTGCATGCACTGATGCAGATATGGGGAAAGGAAGAGAGGCTGCCATTGCAACCAGTGGTAGTTATTGACTAAAACCAACTAGAATTTTTTTGCCTTGTATACAAATAATTACTTAGGAGAAAAAAAAAAAAAAAAAAAAAGATAGAAAAGGACAAGTAAAATGTTACCAAGAAATAAATTCATGAAAAGATACAGGATTGTCTGTGGCACTGTTGATTTCAGTCATCATGATGTCCTTCACGAAAGCGATTGTATCGTTTACAACTCCATGGACCTAGAACAAGACATTAGCACCTGAGCTAGATTAGACACTTAGTTCATCCTCGGGGGTGCTGATCCACTTGCATGTGCTCTCTTTAACTCATGTTAAAGCTCATGGCATTGTGTTCATCCAGGATGTTTGACAGGTACCTGAACAATTTATCTCTCTGGCTGGAAACACCTTTCCCCAGTTCATGGTCTTAACTTCAGTGCAGAAGAAATACCCTCTAAAGCCTACAAATGGGGAAACCAGTGCCTTCCCCCTGCTACCAGTATCCGATCTTTTTCAGACCCAAGCACAGCATTGCCAGATACTGCCTGAGGGATGTGTGCATGGGTCAGCAAATTACACATCCCTATTAATATTAACTTTGAAGTAAGGGAGAAGCAAAATAAAATCTCTTTCTCTGATGGTGTCAGACAATGCATAGATGACAGTATTTATGAGGTGGGCATTTTACCATCGTTTTTCTCTTTTTATGAAAGGAAATAAAATCAGTTTTTACCTGAGGACAACAACGCATTGTGTACGCGTCCTGAACTCGGTCACAAAATCGATGGCTCTCTAGGAGGAACAATGGGATGAAAAGCAGATACTCCTCACACAAAAGCATAGGTGCTGCAGGTTGGGAGACACAGCCTGTCCTGTGCAACTTGGCAGGGTGAAGCTTGAGATTACTCACCTGCTATTTCTGATGGATGGTGGTCAGAATCCAGGAGGGACCTGAATCGAAATGCCACTTCAGCCTGCCCTTTGTGTGGGCGCACAGCGTGGATGTCTAGTAAGACAAATCAGACTGATAGGTTTTGCCTCTCTCCAATGGCTTTAAGCAAACAGTCAGGAAAGGTCCAGTACCCACCGGTATCAAAGGCCTTAGTTGTACCCTTCAGGACTTCAAGCGTAAGGGCAGCGACTATGTCTGCTTGCCTAGCGATAGCACTGGCTCTTTCAACTGCTTCACATCCCAGCGAGGTGATCATTTGTGTCCCGTTGATGAGGGCCAGACCCTTCAAAGAGAGAGCAGATGTTCAGCGAGTTCATTGCAGCTATTCCGCATGCTGTGATAATTACCCATCTCAGGGATAATTCTCTTTCTTGTATAAGGCATGTAAAGACCTTTGCTAAGCTCCCTGGGTTGTCCTGAAGAAAATCATAAAAAGCACAGCTTGACTGGGTATCTTTGCTACATAAATTGTCAATGTTCATGACCCTACTAAGTTATTATAAACACCTTTGAAACTCCAGTGGTTCCAAGAAAGAGGTTTACTGAGTTCACATTATTTCAAAATTTAAATCTTTTCCAAGTGCTTTGGAAGTGGAATGTTTAATGGCATTATTATTGATTTTATTTGTATTATTATTATTATTTCTTTAGTCATTAAACCAAAGAAGTTAAGAGCATGGGTTGTGCAAACAACAATGATAATAAAGAAATAGAGAGTTAAAACAGAATTAAAAATTATCACTGCTTTCAAAGATTTGTTGAGTTCAGCTAAAACGAGCCACAGGTTTGTTCTAAACAAACATGAGGCTGATCTCAGAATCACAGAACGGCTTGAGGCTGGAAGGAACCTCATGAAGATCTTCTAGTCCAACCCCCTGCCAAGCAGGCTCACCTAGAGCAATGGGAGCTTGCTGTTTGACTTTAGGAGACACTGGGTTTGGCTTCTTTCCCCTGCTGTTGTTTTACAGCTTCTGAGCCCCCTCACCAGCCCTCTCATCTGCTGCATTGCCATGTAAACTTTAATACTTAAGTGAGATTCATCTCACCCAGTTTTAACCAATCTAGAAGACAGATATCTGGTTCAAGTCAGTCATCCGAGCTCTTGCTATGGTCAAAGGGCTGAGAAGCACCTTCAGAGGGCTCAGATGAAGACAGATCTGAATACCAAGCCTCTAGAGACAGCAAAGTGAACTGCTGATTGGCAACCAAAAAGATAGGTCTGCACCGGTGCTGCAAAGGATAGATCTACTAGTACTGCTTGCATTGCTGTGGCTATCAGCAAAAAGAAGCCCTTCCTCATCAGTGCAGTACTACACCAGGTTCCACTGGCCTGGAGACACACGAGATGGCAACTGTGATAACTTCTGCCAAAGAAGGGTCAGGAGTGGTTGGAAATACAGATCTGTACCAGTTACCACTGGCAAAAGGACTGGATTCTACCAGTGGTATTGAAATGGGGGTAAAGATGGAACTTATTTTTCTGCTGTCCTGAAGCCCTGCAGTCACAGCTTCTCTGATAGCTGCCGTTGCCACGTAGATGGGAGTTACAATGGGAACGCTGCCATAAACCCTGCTGGAGAATGGGGTCTTTGGTATCCCTCCCTGTGGCTGACTTCAAATACTCTTCTGTAGCTTAATTTAAAATGACTGTTAATTAATTTCAGGCTTACATAGCAAGTATAAAGCAACTAGTGATTGACTAAGCTTGTTTTTCATCAGCTGGCATCATTACACTTTATTACCTCTTTTGGTTTCAAGGTAATTGGTCTCAGACCATGGGCTTCCAGGACCTGTGAAAGAGTTTAATGAAAAGATAATTAATGATTTTTTTTTTTTTTTCCCAGTAATTCAACCACCAATACTATAAAATCTTAACTGTTTCCATAAATGAATTAACAACAAAAAAAGTCCCCAAGTGAAGGAAGAAAAGCAGTTTTATATTATGAACATTTTAGGTTAATTTTTCTGCTGGGCAAAATAAAGGACAGCATTTTGGAGCTTCTAAGCTATCACCTCATTTCCCAGTTCCATAAAGGAAGGCAGTAGGAGCACCAATGTGAGATACTGTCACAGCCCATGAACAGCTATCATGTATTATCTCATGGGAAAGAGTAATATGAGAGAAGGCTGGAAACACCTTGGGAAGACGGTTCTGCCTACCCCCTACCACACAGCAGGTTTGGCTTGGTATAAACTGTTCCCTTATAGATGATTCCCTAACCCTTCCTGTAGAAAACCTCCAGTTGAAAAGAGCCCTACTCAGTTTATTCTGTGCATATCTGTTCCATAAAATTACTCCTGTGGGAAATGGAGGAACTGTGTAACCTTGGTTTTGATAAGAGTCCTCTCAGCCCTTCCAGCTGAAGAGGCGACAAACCTCAGAGGTGTGCAGTTGGTCCCAAGCCACAACAGATCCTCTTTCCTCTGGAAATGATACAAGGAACTATTTGGGCAATGGCAGAAGCAGGGAGAGTGAGAGAGAGAAGGTGGGAAGGCTGGGTGATCTCATGTTGAACATACGTCCTGGGGAGTCTGCCTTCAATTCCATTCTTGCTACAGAGCTCTACCAGGAGCCACCGACTTGAAGAACAAAGCTCTTAATTTGTCTACTGCCCCATTTCCCCTCCCATCAATTGTTTCCTGCATTTCCAGGGAGATGGGCAAAAGCTGAGATGGTGATGCTCCAAATATTACATAGGTGACTGCTTCAAATATTACATAGATTCATAATAAAGGTCCCTCCAACATCTGAACACAGAAGGTCTGGCACATGCTGGCCTCCTTCCTCCCTAACTCCTCTCTGTGTACTTTCTACAGCCTACCATGATGGTATAATTATCAATCCTTTAATAAATCTGGTGGATAAGTATTATGAATAAATATTCATGGATAGGAGTGTTAGGATTGACAGAACAAGCTACTTTGAAAAACGTCGGAGAGGCCAGACTTGGAGATGTTCAACGCTAGATCAATCTGCTGATGCATTAGTGACAGGGTAACAATTAATTAATTAAAAATAATTATATTATAATCTAGTTATAATCTGCATTATGATACTATGACGTGATATTTCTTTAGGACTTAATAACATGCTGGGCGTTTGTTTCTGGTCCCCTGACATGTGGGTTACTTGCTTCTATTCTCATGGATCCGCCTTCCTCAAGGTAGAGGATGAGCTGTTAAACACAACCCAGTCCCAATTCAAACTGGTACACAAAATCTAAAGACTTTTAAATCTTACGTATTTAGCATCAGCCCAGCCACTCTTTGGGGACCACATCTTTCCTTCTCCGATTAATCCCAGAGCAAGATGAGAGAGGGGAGCCAAGTCTCCGCTGGCCCCGACTGTCCCTTTCTCGGGGATGTAAGGCAGGCAGGATGCTAGAAAGAAAACAAAAAACAAATACAACTTCTGTTAGAGCTTCCCCTTGATATGCTCCTTGGAAAACAGAGAAGCCAGCTCATGAAGGTGGTCACAGTAACATCTTGTAATGGCTATCTGTTATCAATGGCACCAACAGGACCACTTGTCATGCAGACAGGGGTTTGTCCATGCTCCAAGAATGGCTGCAAGTTTATAAAGAAATTGACTCCCTTTTGAATTCAGTTCTGTAAGGAGGGGGGACCACAGCTAGGGGTCTATAAGCACATGGCCAGGCAGCTAAAATGCCGCTCTTAGCTCCCCATCACAGGCTGACCACCAGCCAGAGCTATCTGATCATTTCCCACTTCACTAAACACTGAGTACCTCCTAGAAACCATCTCCAAACCCCTTTCCCTTGCCTCATCCCTCTGGGCACTGAATGTGTGGAAATGAAGAAATAGAGCCCAGGGAACCTGTTTATCCTCAAAGCAAGTCCTGAGCAGGGAGCAGAGGTGCTCTTTGGTCACCACTGCCACTGTAGCACGTCTTGCCAGAAGGACCATCAATGAAGAGCCACCAACAAAGAGCAGAGACACCCCTTTGGTCTCCCTGCTGCGGTGTCCATCAGGGACACTCTGCTCCAGCTGCTGTGACAGCTGTGGTGGCAACGTGCACTGCTGACCACGCTCTGCTCCGGGTCTGCCTGGTAGGCCTGCTCGTGAAAACCTGGGCACCTCTCAGGGATCTACTCACAGAAACAGGTGCATCTGCTCAGCAAACTCCAATATAAGCAGTTTTCTGTGTGGTGGTGGCCCCACCCAAAAGTCTTGGTGTCCCAAAAGGTACTGGCATGCACGTCAGCATGCACCCAACCTGACAAAAAATTTAGACTTGAGCCTTTGCAAAAGAGCTCGCCTGGAGTCAGCATCGTGTTCTTCACAGACCAACTACTGATGGCAGCAGCGAGGCATCACCATGTAGGCTAGCTAATGTCAGTGTTCAAAAGACAAGTAAATGTCTTATAAAAGACACTTAAACACTTTAAAAGGCATTTTAAATGTCTCCCTGCTCTGCAGGGGAAGGCCTATGGCTCACCAGGGATTCAGGGACTCAAGTCAGTTGGTTTGACACCAGGGAATAGAAGAGGAAAAAAAAAAAAAAAAGAAAAAGAAAAAAAAATGTATTTAAGAAAAAATGTATAAAAATGTATAAAAATGTATTTAAGAAAAAATGTATAAAAGAAAAAAAATGTATTTAACATTTAATATGTTAACATTTCCAGCAGGCCACCCTTCCATGAGTAGACAGTATGGAAACAGCTCTCACTCACTGCTGGCCTCAGCCTGTTTGTGAGCAGGGTGTTATCCATGTTAACATCCATAGCTTGACTCATTGAGCTACATCCTTTAAAGAAACAGTTAAAAACAAACACGAAAACAAACAAACCACACCACCAACAATAACAGCAAAAGAGAGGGAAGCTTTCTTTCAGCATCTTTTTTTTTTTTTTTTTCTTTTTACCATTAAATGCTTCGATAACTTGCTGGAGGGTTTCTAGGGAAATTCCGCTGTACCCTTTTGCTAGAACATTGATCCTCAGCGCCAACAGCATGCGAGACCTCTCGGGGGTCAAAGGTTTCCCCACACCTGAAACAGTAATGGGCTCAGTTACCCACCTGCTAGCAACAGCACAGGGAAGGGAAAGCACCAAGCGATTTCTCGTTACCTGCAGAATGTGAACGAACCAGGTTCACTTGAAGCTCCCTATGAAGATAAAAAAAAGTTACATAAAAAAATAAGTAAGTTTTTGAAATTCAAGTTTTATTTTGCACAAAACAGAAATACTAAAGCAGCCCCCTCTCATCTAATCATAAGCATGCAGTGTAGAGCTGCTCCATCTTCTTTCTTTCCTCAGAAGAAAGGAAGAAGAGAGCTGCACACATAACTTACATAAGTTTACTGTTTGGAATGACAGTTCTGGCAAACTTCCCAAACCCTGTGGTGATTCCATAAACAACTGCAAGAAACACACATTTCTGGGTAAGGAGAGAGCCTGAGATAGTTTTCACAGCGTCTGACAAAAATAATTAATAGTTAGTGATAAAATATTTACCTTTCTGTTCCTTTACAATCCTTTCAATTACTTCTCGTGATCGTTTGACTTTAGCTTCAGCTTCAGGTGTGAGCTAGAAAATGAGTATTTTGAACATTAGTTTATCTATTACATCATTTAATTCTAATCATAGAAAGATAAACATGACTTTTTGCCATGTTTGTTCAGAATCTTTACCTTTATCTTGTAGAGCCCCTTTCCCAAACTGACCAGATCCTCCGTTGTTAAGCTGTTGCCATCTAAAGAAATATACTACACCAAAGAACCACCTTTCAGTTTGGGATACATATACACATAGAATTGCTTAATGATCACAGTATTAAAACAACAACAACAAAAACAGCAAAAGCTCAGCGATGGCAGGAAGATCATGCATGCTCTCATTCATAAGATAGGAACACCATAATAAAAGTGCAATGAGCAAATCACAAGTTTAGATTCCCAGGCCCAGCAAACCTAACAGCCACTGATCTCATGAATATTGCAGTGGCTAACTCTCCACAAGCTCTGAAGAATATGAGGATCATTACTGAGTTGTAAGACCATTGGTAATTCCTACCTGTTCTGGTTCTCGGTATTTGCTATATCTGAAAGTTACGTAAAGGAAAAGAAATGGCAAACACGATGTCAAAAGTAGTAGAGTCCATTTGATTAAAACTGGCAATGTCTTTTAAAAATGAAGGAACACTGAAAGAACATGGAAATCTAGAAAATTATAAGTCTGGAATTATAAAAAGTTCATGGCTTGCTCAAAAAAGGATACAAATGAACTCCTTCCGGCTGAGACGGTATGAAATCTGGAGACATTATGTCTCCTTCTATAACTAGAAGAAATATCCAAAGTAAACATGAACAGGATTAAACTGTACTCTAAGTATAGATTAATATGTTATTCTTTACACTACACAACAGTAAGCACACTAATTTGCAGTCATCATCACCAAACAAATCTGTATGCCTCTAGGAAAATAATTAGTGTTTATATAGTTTATTTAAGGTTATCTAAAGACAGAAACAGGAGAGCCCAGTCCTTGGACATATGCTCCATCTCCTGAACAATCATAGAGAATATAAGACATCATATAGGGAGGATATATACAGCATCCTGTAGTTTCTAAATCCTAAATAGTCCTGTTAGAATTTTAATTTTGGTATTTTTCCATAAAAATCTTAGACACCATCTCTGATGCAATTTTAGATCAACTAAAACACAGCTTGCTAACTCAGGTGCCATTGCAGTCATTTCGTCATGCATTGCCTAAGGTTTTGCTTACCAACTTCAACAAATTCATTGTCCTCTAGGGCATCCTCCACTGTGTCATCAAGATCCAGCAAGCCAAGACCCTTGCACCTTCGAACATAAAATTTTACTTCTTCCACCGATGTAAATCCTCCGTTATCGGGCTTGTTTTTCATGTACCGTCTCACAGCTTCCCTTCCCAGCCATCCGACTGTGTTAGCACCGTTGAGGCACGGCACTGCCAGCCATTCCCCTCGGACGTGCACCGTGTATCTTGGCATGCTTTCTCTCCAGAATTGCTCCTTGCCTGAAGGGCTGCAGTGCGAAGCAGCCTTACATTTACCACGCCACAGCCTGAGAGCAGTATCCAGCCGGATTCTGGTGTCCCAATCAGATCAAGGCAAAAATCCACCCCCAAAGATCCCCACCTTTGTAAATAAGCGAGATCGATGCATTCAGCTGACTTCAGCCAATGAAACCAAACTGAGGGAGCACACCCTTTTCCTGGAAAGGACCAGATATCCCCCCTCTTCTGATCAAAACCTTACCTGCGAGAATCTCTGGTTATTTGGACAGTGCTGTAGCAGAAGCCTAATTAGATTTTGGGAGTGAATGAAAGGAATGGTGTAAATTCATAAACTGAAATAGAGAAAAAAAATTTTCAATGAATTTTTCCACTAGAAGTCGTCACCCAGAGGGGTAGCAAGAAGAGAACTGAATGGCTCACTAAGTCCTTAACACAAAAAAGTTGTAACAATTTAGATAGGTTTTCTGCTGCTTTATTTTGAGCTATTCTGTTTCCAAAACAGCCAGTATTTTAGTGAGTTTATTAAAAGATGACCGACACAGCATTCATAAATATGTAAACTGATTTTTGAGCCTCAGTCACACAAGAGCTAATTTTTCCATCACTTTTAATTAAACTACATAGACATATGTAGGTTAGAGCTGAATAGAAGAACTCAGCATACCTTGAACAAGTAAAATCCAACCAGGTACGTTCATGCCTTAATTTATACTAGAGCTGCTAACAGAGAAAGATTAATCTCCTGGTAAAATGCATCTTCATCTACTTGAAAGCTTATACTAAAGAAAACGCAAAACAAATATATTGAATGACTCTCCAATCCTACTCTAAATCCAATCAAATCCAGACTTTTGCTGTGACTTACATATAGTATTTTTCCTCCTTCAAAACAGCTTTTTTCTTTTCTCTTTGTTGCTCCTTGACAGGGGGTTCTATGTCAACAGATTTCATTTATGTTAATTTATCATTTTCAGGAAAAGCAATTCTGCCCAGATTCGTTTCAAAAAACAACCCCTAGATGGCAGTATTCACAACCGTTTCACTTAAACTATCAACTTGGACTGAAATATGCAAGAAACAGCTCCTAATGCTTTTAACCTTATTTCTAACTCACAGTATCAGCGTAGAGTGGTGATGACTGGGACTGATTATAAAATGGAAATACTAAAAAAAAATCCAAATCTGTGAAGGAAAGACTTAGGTTTCAGTCCCCTGCAATAATTAGAAGTTTTAAAAATATATAGTGGGTTGAAATAATTTAAGTCTCTGAAAGCCTAGCAAGGCATTAAATATGAAATATGGTAAAATTCCAGGTTTTCTAAAGAAAGAGAACAAAAGTATTTCAGACAACTCATAATAATAGTACACAATGAAAAATCCAATAGCAATGAAAAAGTAAAACAACTGTATTGTGATTGATGTAAAGAACTGACTAATGTAACAGCCGTGATAAATGTGGCTACACAGATTTTTTCCTCAGCTTTCAGTACAGTGCTGTAATCCGTTTAGGTCTTCAAAGTCCTATTAAACCCATAGTAATTCACACCAGTGGAAAATATTCTCCTACAACACAGGAGAGTAAATAAGGGAATTGGAATGATGGACTGGGGCCAATGGGGTTCAACAAAACCATGTGCCAGGTACTACACTTTGGTCACAACCCCACACAGAGCTACAGGCTTAGGGGCAGAGTGGCTGGAAAGCTGTGCAGAGGAAAAGGCTCTGGGGGTGTTGGTGGATGCTCACCTGAACACGAGCCGGCAGTGTGCCCAGGTGGCCAAGAAGGCCAGTGGCATCCTGACTTGCATCAGGAATAGTGCAGCCAGCAGGAGCAGGGAGGTGATCGCCCCCCTGTGCTCTGCTCTGGAGAGGCCACACCTGGAGTACTGTGCTCAACTTTGGGCCCCTCAGTACAAGAAGGACATCGAGGCCCTGGAGCGTGTCCAGAGAAGGGCTACGAAGCTGGTGAAGGGTCCGGAGCATAGGTCCTGGGGGGAGCAGCTGAAGGAACTGGGCTTGTTTAGGCTGCAGAAGAGGATGCTCAGGGGAGACCTTATTGCTCTCTACAACTACCTGAAAGGAACAGGTGGGGAGCTGGGGGTCAGCCTCTTCTTGCAGATAACTAGTGATAGGACTAGAGGGAATGGCCTCAAGTCGCACCAGGTGAGGTTCAGGTTGGAAATGAGAAGACATTTATTCTCAGAAAGAGCAGTCAAGCACTGGAATGGGTTGCCCAGGGAGGTGGTGGAGTCACCATCCCTGGGGATGTTTCAGGAAGGGGTAGATGTGATGCTTAGGAACACGGTTTAGTGGGCAGTATTGGTGGTATTGGACAATTGGACCACATGATCATGAGGTAGGTCGTTGCCAACCTTAGTGATCCTATAATTCTATTATTCTGACACTTTTTGTACAGATCAACACACAGACAAGTAGACTGAGCGATAAAAAGATTTATTTTTCAGTTGTCAGATACTTGAAGTTATTTTCATATTACTGTGAAAAAAAAAAAAGAAAGCTATGCACAAAGTTATGCCATCCACCAGTTAATTTTCCATGTTTTAAAATTCCATGGTTCACTATATCTTATACAGCTTCTTTGCATGTTTCATGAATTGCCTGTAAGAAAACCTTTCTCCCAGTTCCAGAGATTTAGTGATTTTGCAGTAATACTTGGGAGGTACAAAACAGAAAGTACCAAATTTGATCCAGAAAGTTCATTTTAAGCTAAATTAGTACCAAAGCAGCAGATCATTTATGGCATAATCAAGCACACATATGAATGGTTTGCAGAATCAGTCTTTTTTCAGCAACTAGAAAATTTCAAAGTAATCAATAAACTTGTCACTGATCCTGTTTCAAGTCTTTGCCCACAAGCATTGATGTGACCGGGTGCATACAGGCTCTGTGCTCTAGGAATGTCTTGACAGTCAGATCTCGAGACTTGTCAAAATTGTAGAGATCCCTAAAAAAAAAAAAACAACAAACAAGCACAGCATTACAAAAAAAAGAATCTGTGAAAAAACAGTATAACGCAGATTTTCTCAAAGTTTTACTTTTATCTTGACAGCCTGACATTAAGAGACATATTGAGAAACTAGTGTTTCCTCTCTTAAAAAGTCAGCAAGTGGAACGTGACTCTGAAGATAAGCTTGTTGGCAGTATATAGAAAATTGTTTTATCACTATAAAATATAACAAATACTTACATGGTGTCAAGACATATATTCCATTATACTAAAAACGCCAACATTGTTAGCTCCTACAATTTGGAGATTACTTTTACCTGAACAAGGGCCGAGTAAACTTCATCCTCCCTTGATCTGTTGCCATTTTTAGAGCCAGAGGAATAGCTTCTTCCCACTTGGACTGGATACAGAGGCGTAGCCATCTGAAAAAAAAAAAAAAAGAAAAAAATGTTATTTTTCATTTGCAGTTGTCTTATGATTCTGTTTCCATAAATGCCCTAGACAGTGCTGTGTGCTCATAGACTAGAATTTCAGCATATATAAAATACTAACATAAGTGCAATTTAAAATATTTAGTGTCTGAGTGGCAGGTTACAAAGTGGACTTTCTCATAAAACACAAAAAAAAGTTTCCAAGTTTCTCCAAAATTGTCTTTTTACTGCGGCTATATATATTTTTTTATGTTAGAGTAGCATCCAGTTGCATCACTCAAAGCTGAATTATAAAGTACTTTCCACATTTGACCAAGTTACCAAAAAACTTGAAGAAAAACACAAACAAAACCTCACCAGGTTTTGTTTTAAAAATATAAGAAAATATTCTTTTAAGAAACAAGAACTATACTTACAAGAACTATACTGTATGCTTAAAAACATTTAGTTTTGTTCATGATAAGGAATGAAGAACTCTAATTTAGCAATAAGGCAGAATAACTATCACTACTGCAAATGTACCCAAGTATGTAACAATAGCAAAGTATGTAATTCTTCTAAACATTTGTGAAGATTACTTTTGTTCCCAAACAAAAAAAAAAAAATTTAAAAAGTATTTATTTTTAAACACATGGCCTGTTTTAACAATGCATATACAAAGTAGAAGAAGTTAGGATGGCGTAAAAATCAAGACATGTAGCACAAGGCTTTTCGTATTTGTTTAGAGACTTCTCTTGATATGTGCTTATTTTGAAGAGACAAAAGCTTTGTAATAGCAGGCATTAAAATGTGACAAAAAAGAGTTGCAGTTGGAAAATAAACACAAAACAAGTAAACAAAAATGAACACACACGCACACCAGCACATCAACAGAACTCATTAGGCCAGCCCGGAAGATCTAGTCCTGACTGACAAATGGAAAGATTTTTCAATATCTTTGAGTCAAAGAGAGGCTCATTAGTGTATTATCCAGTACCACCCCCAAAATAAGTTATCAGGTCATCAGACTCCTTTGCAAGCATGACAGATGTGAATAAAGCACAGCTAATCCACTGCTCCCTTCCCGTTGTTCTACTAGACTATATTTACCCAATTTATAAGTAACAATACCGCTCTGGTAAGCAGGTTTACACATACACATAAATAGTAATGACTGCATCAGAGCTATAAAACAGTATAGCTCAGATCATTTCTGAGGCAGGACAGTTTGTTTTATGGAAGCATTTAAAGTGAGAAAAAACGTCCATACTAGAACAAACCTGAATCGTATTTCAGAATTAGTTATAGCATTGAAGTCATATACTTGCTGCATTCGTTTAACATGTGACACTGGAAGAGGAGCCTAAAAAAGGAAATTGCATAGTCAGAAATAAGACAGAGGCACGCTTCATTCCACACACTCCAAAAATAAACAGGTTCATTTAAAAAGATTGATGCTACAAAGGATTTAAAAGCTTACCATGATAAATATTTGAATTTGTTCCCTTCACCTCTTCAGAACATTAGTGAAGGGGCAAGGAATAAGTGCAATGGTTAGCAAATTCCCACATCCAGCACTACCAAAACGTACAAATCTTGAACTAATTTCATTCTGTTTCATTTACAGCATTTATAGCTCATTTGCAGGTCGCAAACACCACATACAGACAAATTCAAGCACCTTCTAGTTTTGTTTTTATTTTTCAATCCAAAGTAGTTCACATGTT